CATACCTTTCTCGAGTGATCATCGATAAAGGTGACATAGTACGCCGAACCGCCAAGAGAAGACACACTAGCTAGACCATATGCATCTGTATGAGCAAGCTCCAGTTTCTGAGCTTTAGGTGACCTTCCACTCTTCTAAAAACTAACCCTTTTCTGCTTCGCGTAGATGCAGTTCTCGCAAACACCAACTTCAACTGAATCGATACCAGTTAGCTTTTCCTGTGAGTGTAGAATTTTCATACGCTTCTCACTCATATGTCCCAGCCTATTATGCCACAGATTTGCACTCTCCTTGTCAGCTGTAACTGTGAGGGTGTCACTCGCATGTGAAGTGAGGTAGAGTGTTCCGGTTTTGTTGCCACGAGCAACCACCATAGTATTATTAGAAATTTTTTACGAATCCCTGGTGAATGTTGAATATAGCTTTTTGCTCTAAGCTGACCCACCAAAACAAGATTTCTCTTCAGCTTCGGTACATGTCTGACGTTCTTCAGATTCCACTTAGAGCCCTTCATCTGAATCTACACGTCGCCTCTTCCAATAATACTACAAGGCTCGTTATCCCCCAAGTACACTTTCCCAAAGTCCCATGTTACATAGTTCTAAAGAAGCTTCCTATTAGCAGTGACGTGAAAAGAGGCTCCCGAATCAATAACCCATGAATCAGAATCACTATCTATAGCAATGATCAAGGCATCTTGCACGGTATGAGCCTCCTGCTCATTCACATCCTTTTTTTTTTGCTTTGCAGACTGAAGACATATGTCCCTCCTGGCCAAAGTTCCAATAGTTTCCTTTGACAGGCCTAACCTTCGAGTTTGACCTCTTTTTCTTCGACTTCGACCGATTCCTGTTCTGGTTTCCCTTCTTCTGGCTTCGGTCTCTCTGTTCGAGATTTAGAGCTAAACCTGAACCTTCTAATTCAGACGATTTTCTTCTAACCTTCTTGAATAGAATCATGCTAACAACCTTACTCAGCTTCTACTTCTCCTTCCCCCACCGAGTTGCTAATTGCGATCACGCAACTTGCTAAACTATCCGACAACTGTGATAGAATCAATAGGGTATGCACTTCGTCATCAAATGTGATGTCTACAGAGATAAGTTGATCAACAATCTGTTGAACTCGTTGAGGTGCATCGTGAATGAGCATCATTCTGTCATCTTGAGGTCGAAGAGCATTTTGACGAGATGCACCTTATTTGCGACTGACGGTTGCTCGTACATCTTCGCGAGCATTTCCATAAGCTCCATCGTCGTCTTCTCCTTCAATATATTGTAGGTGACTGATTTGGCGAGCAACAATCGGATCTGCCCTAGAGCCTTTCGATCCAATATTTCCCAGTCCTCGTCTAATTCCTCCTTCTTCTTTCCCTTAGCCTTGCCCATCAACGGACAGTAAAGATTCTTTTGGTACAGATAGTCCTCCATCTGCGACTTCCAGTAGGGGAAGTCTGATCCATCAAACTTCTAGATCTTTGATTTGTTTTTCTTTGCCATGGCTCTTGCACAAATCTTCTGAATGAAGCTTTGATACTAGTTGTTGGGGATTCGAAACAATCAATCGAACCTGTGCCCTTCCGGATCTTGTGCTAAGAGTTTAACAAGTAGGAAAATCACCGCAAATAAAAAAAAATTACAGGAAAGATAAACATGAAGGAACACACCAGATTTAACGAGGTTCGGCAATGTGCCTACGTCCTCAGGAGCCACACCACATAATTCTTTGATTAATTGAAGAAGATTACAATGCCCACAAATAGGTTTTTATCTCTCTGAGATATCTCTCTCAAATAGCCGTCAAAACTCTCTTTTTAGTGTTCTACAAACCCTAAAAACATATCAAGGTATATATAGTATACTGGCCCAAAACAGTTTCCCAAACGAATCAGAAAATTAGAAAAACTGATTCTGGTCGACCGGACCATGTGTGTCGGTCAACCGGCCAGAACACAGTTTCTTACAGGGTCTTCCTGCATGTTTTCGGTCGACCAGCACATCACCTTCGGTCAACTGATTGGTCACCCTCGGTCGACCGACAACACAGCTTCGGTCGATCGGCCAGAGCGTGTTCCTGAGCTCGTTTTCTATAGTCTCTTCGGTCGATCAGATCTCCTCCGTCGGTCGACCGACCCGAGATTTTTCAGACTCACATTTTTGTTTCAGGTTTCGTTCTTCACACCACCAAAACCAACATTATAATTATTCCTTTGAAGGGTTTTACCTGCAAATGAAATCACAATGGAGAGAAACAGATCACAGATTTCTAGACTCATATCATTCTTGAATCTTTGAAAGATTGGAGCATCACCACAGAATTAAGCTTAGAAGAACCTCTGGTTTGTGATTTTAGATGAACAATTATTTCAAGATATTGAACTAAACGATGATTTGTCCCAGACAAAAAGTTACGGATTGAATATTTTTCACACGTTTCCGTATAGATTCTCTGACATGTTGATAGTAAATTAAGGGTCATATTATATCAGCATTAATGAAAATAAACTTATCACTCATCAAGAAAATAAACTTTGAATCAGCATTAATGAACTTGAAGTCGAGTATCCTTTTAAGATTTTGTGTGTCATATTATATCAGATAATTGTTCTGAATTTTCGAAAGATAAAAAATAGTGGAATATATTATTTGATACTTATCACTCATCAGATAATGTTTTGCCTAAATTTGTAGTAGATATATTCGGGATTCTTAAAATTATATGCGGCCAATATCTAAGATAAAAATACTGAAAGCATCCCGTGGGAGCTAAAAATTAAATAAAATAAAAGCAAGATTTAGTTAGCAAGTGAAGGAATAACAACTACCTTCCATTAGCAAAGACATAAAAACCAACCACCCCAATAATAATAATAATAAAGAGAGAGATTTTTAGCAAAGTATAAGAGCAAAATCTTCTCTAATGTTGATTGATTTCCTAAGAACCAAACAAATTAGACTATCATATAAAACCAAAGCAAAGGATAACAACAATAACACCCACAAGGAGACAAAATAACCAAAAGAAAGCATGATGCACGCATAAATCCCATCACAAACAAACCAAAAACATTTTGGCTCACATTAAACAACAACAAAGACAAACACAAGCACAAGCACAAGCATATTTTCCAATAAAAGTTAATATAAAGCGAAAGCTTTGGAAAAGACATAACAAATCCGGTACAAAGGACAATTAGCATTGGATTACCATTAATTAATTGAGACTAAACCAAACTCTTGAAGCGTGGATGTGTAATAACCATAAACAAATTGGATTTTTGTATAGAGGAATACCCTTAAAGTGAGATGAAAAGACTCTAAAAGGCAGTTTTCCACGTCCCCTTCAAGCCTTGCTGTTGTTGCTTTGGCATTTTATTAATCTCTAGTTTAATGACAACGAGAACTCCTTACTTACGTTTGCCCATTTAGAAAAAAATAATAATAATTTAGTGATGATCTTTCATTAATTTCTCTCTCATCCAATAAACTCCAAAGGGTAGGTGGATTCCTCATCAAAATGGAACAAAGCCCATGTGTTGTTTAAAGCACCCTGAGCTCTAAAAAAGCTTTACTCCACATGAGACCAACTTCTCCAGCTAAGACTTTTGATTGGAAAAAATTAACAAATGCCCTCCACTCACCAAAATAAAATAATGTAGTAGCCCATTGAGGGAAGGGGAATAGTATATACTTGTTATGTTAAACGCTTGGTTGTCTCTAGTGTACCTATTCTCTCTCTGCATTGAGTCTTTGTTTTGAATTGGTTTTGTATTTATGTGAGTTAGGTCGGTATTCATAGAACATAGACAATGTAATATAATACAGAGTAAATCCATAATTTTTTTTTTCTTTGAGGGAATATATTGACCATAACAAGACAAGGACTGATGAAGAACCTTTCATCTTAAGTATTCCCACATTGTTTAATTTCTTATTCCAATTTGTGCTTTATTTTCTTAATTATGATAGAGAGGATTATCAGCTGTGGGTTTTTTTTTAAACTATTTCTGCCTTAAAAAAAACCTAACTTTTGAACTTTTGAGCATAGTTATTGCATTTGGAGTAGGCTTGTTTTCATCCATACTTTAAAAGAGCAAAAATCCAGAAAGTCCGCTTCTCTTTGTTTGGTATCTTGTATCGTCAATATTGAGAAATTTTGAGCTTGGCGTGGACTGGCAGGGAGCTGTCCTTGTATTGCATCCTCTCTCCGTTCCCTCTCCCTCTCTCTCTCTCTCTCTCTCATTTGCAACACAACTACTTATGCTGCACTTTGTCTCTATGCAAATGACTTGTATTCCTCGAGTACCATCTGTCATGGTGATCCCTTGTGATGTTTATGATGCATACTCAAAGACCAATGGTTAATTAGCGTTATTTTATATATATTTATTTTTGACTACATATGTTATAAGGTCATAAAAGAGAGAGAATTTTTATAGGCCCTTCGCTGTATGCATTGTGTCCTAGATATCACCTTTGAATCTCTTCTTTTATATTTGGGTTAGTTGCCCCCCTAATCTTTCGCCCGATAACGGATAGACCCTCTGTAGTTCATCTATTGCCTGATAATAGATAAACCCTCTGTAGTTTTATTGTTGCAAACAAATGTCCTGAATGAATTTTATTAATTCTTTTACACTTAAAAGACCTATTTGTTGTAAGATAATTTTATCTTTCTCTAGAGATAACAGAGCAACAAATTTGAACAATAGAACTACGGCCTAAAATGATTTGAGAGAAGCCTTTCGGCCCCTGATATCTTTGCTTATGCAATCAAAACTTTCAGCTGTCCCTGTTTCATGCTAGTGGATTCCCTCCCCATTAATCTTTCTTCAAAGATAAGCCAACCTAATAAAGACCAAACTAAAATCCACCTTTTCTTCTGAAGTCATCATGCTACAGAAGAAAAACCAGCCATCAATGAAAGAGATCCTCACTATTACAGGATCAATCAATCACATGAAAACCAAAACCCTTTATTTATGTACATGAAAAGATAAAAAGAGGCAAAGGGACAACTTCATATTAATAGAATCCCCGGAGTATTACATATATAGCTTCACAATGATACCGTGGAATGTTTTACAATGTGCTATGATTAGAAAACTACTACAACATTAGCCACAAACATTACCCAATTCAATCCACAAACCTGAAAACAGTATCACATTTTTGTTTCTTTGCCCTCTTTCCAACCTCCTCTTTGTATTATCACAGGACAAACAGTCAGTAGAAGGAAGAAGAGCTGTACTTCAAAAGCTTTCCATGAATGAAATTTTGCATTTTAAGGACAACAATTCTTCCACAGATCAAGTCACCTATAATTCATCAACCTCCATTGTTCACTGAGTTCCTCTTTCATGAATTGCAAATCATTTCTCAGAGTTGTTAACAACCGAAGTCAGCAACAGCCTGGTAGTGTAGAACCAAACCAACTCTGAGCAATTCATTCAACTTCTGTCGATACATACATAAGACATATATACCTATATATAGCATATCTGTTAAGGGTTTGAAGAACTTGAGTATCTGCTAGCAATTAGAAGTCACAAAGCTCTTGATCTCATCCATGACTTCATAAAAATGTTCGGTATTGGGCAAGAAGTAGAAACCAACCGTTGCCTGCTCTCGATACACAAGCTTCACATCCTGACCAGCTTTCTTCAACCCTTCAGCATAGGCCAACTGCCAATCTTGGATCAAATCCAAACCAGCAACGACAACCAAACTCTTGGGAAACTTCATTCCTTCGAGCTTAGCCCCATTCGGGCCAAAAGGGTTACAAGCGGGATGATCTCTATCTGCTCCTTCAGGCAAAAATGCCTTCCAATACCAATCGCGGTCTTGAATCGTCACAAAATACTTGCCATCCAATTTTTTCTCTGCTTCTGTCCTCTCCATGCCACCAAACATGGGATTAAGCAGAATGTTCCCACAAATCTCAATTCCTGCGTCAACAGCTCTCAATGCAACATTATGTGCAATGTTCCCTCCCGAGCTATCACCAGCGAGGAAAATTCTTGGTTTAGAGTCCTTGGCACATCGAAGCCAAGATTCGTTGGATGCCCATTTTAGGGCAGTCCAGCCATCATCGTAGGCTGAGGGGTACCGATGCTCAGGGGAGCGACGATAGTTAACAGAGACGACGACAGAAGGACCAACTAGGGTGACAAGGCGACGACAGAGAGAGTCATAGATTGCACTGTTGGAAGAAGAATGAGCGAAGCTGCCACCGTGGAAGAATATGATGACGGGAAAAGGGGAGGTTGAAGGGGGGAGGTGGAGATCGGCAAAGGAGGTGGATTCGGGGGATGGACGATAAATCCGGGCAAGGAGGTTTGAAGGGTGGGCAAGAAGGAGATCGAAGGAGAGGACGCCATTGACAGGGGAGGCATTTGCAGGGACCTTTCGCTCGAGGTACTCGGCGAGGTGGCGGTTGAAGGTGCCATCAGGTCGCCGAAGCATGTTGTAGGCTACTTTGAAGTTGGAGATTAGCACCCATGTGTTTAAAGGAACAACCATCTGCAACATAAAAGAACATAGAAACTGGTCAGAATTTGATCTTTTCATAGTTTTCGGCAAGTAAATAGGAAATTGAAGCTTTGTTTCCCCTCATTTTGATTCTATAATTGTGGATTGTTGATGAAGTATAGTAGTTATTGGGTAACCCTGATAACAGAAAACAGGGTTTCATTTCTTTACTTATTTGGGAAATTTTGGAGGGGAAGTTTAGAGGAAAAGGCTCGCGCTTCCGACAATTCTTAAAAGAGTATTTAGTGATTTCTGGGGGCTTTGTCTTCTTCATACAATTGATATTAATAGGGGGAAAGGGGCAGAAATTAGGGCTTTTAGAGTTTTTATGAAATGAGTAAGATTTTGTTTGTTTCTTGGTGAAAAGATTCAAACTTTTCATGATTTCACGGGAGCAGATAAAACTTTCACGGTATAATCATTCTCTCAAAAGTTATTAAAGACAAATTTAGCCCTCATCGAAGGAAGCTGAAACCCTAAATTAGCAAATTGGGGCCAGATTCAAACCGATTCAAGACAAATTCTACCCATAGTAAAGACTCTCAGAAATCAAAACTAAAGCCCCAAAAACTGAAATCAAATCACAACCTTAAGACATTTTGCCCATAATCAACAAAGAATATCACATAAAATGAAGAGAACGAGAGTTTATATTGTTCATTTTTCTACTAAATCTCTCACCAAATTAAGCAAAAAAAAAAAACTTAATACACAAATAATTCCAACAGAAACGAAAGAATAACAATACCATTGACTCATTAGCGTTAACCTCGTTGCTTCCAGCCATAGAGAGGGCAATAATAATGCTTAAAACAACCAATCTCAATTCAAAAACCAAGAAAAATTCCTCCTTTTTCTCATGGTTCAGCGCAGTAGCTCGAACCCATAGAACCCTTCTCTCAAAAACTACTCTGCTTAGCGAATTTTTGAGAAACTCGAAGATTGAAGCTCGTTCCTCCGTCAAAAGAGCTCCTTTTTTATTGGCCTGTGCTCTGAGAACTTGAGATTGAAGCAAGCAGCAGAATGAAAGACAGGGGAGGGAGGGGGTCCGAGGGATAAAAAGAAGAGCGAGAGGAGACGACAAAAAGGGGCGGCTTCAAATAAAACTCTCACGCGTGGGACCCACCAGTTTTTCTACTCTCTAGTCCCTCCGTTTTCCCTCCTTTCTTTTAGAGTTGTCAAGTCTAGGGCCAACGGGCCTGTTGGCGCGTGCAAGTCAAAGACCCATCGAAAACAACTTAATGTTGACTGTTAAAATACTAGCATTGTTTATTCTTGGATTTTGGATTTTTTTTCTATTTAAACCATTAGTATTTTTCACACTAATCCATGTGGGACTAAAGTGAGGGTGTCACAATCGCCCCATCTTACAAAGACGACGTCTTCGTCGTCACGACATGACAATTGACATATCCCAGTATCAATGCCAGACGATGTGGACTCTAGAGTGGACTCCTACGGGCTCTAGAGGTGACTCACACCGTATCCATGCGGTGTAGCACTTAGTCGCGTATAGCATTAACTTCACACTTCCAACTGGAAATGGCTCTGATACCATTTGTCATGTCTCGAGCCCACGAGCCCGTTGGCGTGTGTAAGCCATGGGACCCACCGAGAACAACTCGATGTCGGCTTAAATCCACCGTTAAAATGCTAGGAACAGTTGTTCTTGGACATTAGGTTTTTCTCTATTTAAATCACTAATATTTCTTTACACTAATCTATGTGGGACTCAAGTGGGGGTGTCACAGTTGTGATGCATCCCCTTTCATGCACCAATTTAGCAATTTTCATAAAATTATTTGTCATTGGGAGCAAAGTGTTGACAGGTCCATCTAGCACACATTTCTTATGTTTTGAGTCCTCTGAATTAAATTTCACAAAAAAAACCCAACACCGGAGTTACCCTACCAAAACACCCCTAAAATATTAAGAAACTTTTTGAGCGTCTTGCAAAACTCCTCTAAACTTCCAATGTTTCTCTCAGACTTCCCAAACAGTTTTAATGAATCAACGATCAATATTCCTATGTATGATCAACATAAGGTAACACACCAACTCTATTAGGGGGTCCATTGGTGGGTTTATGAGACACCATAAAGTTTAGGGACTTGATGAGAAAAACGTTTTAGGAATGTAGGAAATCCCTATAGGAGGTTTTATGAAATTTACATATTTATAACTTTCAACATGTCGCAACTTTGAAGTTTTGATGCAAAAGAAAATGACTTTACATGATATATGGGGTTCAAATTCATAGTTTATAGAGGAGGTATTTAAAACAAAATTTAAAAATAACACAGTCAATATGTATCCGTGTTTGGATGAGTTTGTTGAGGATTGATGAGAGACCGCTTTCTTCCTAGACTTTATGTCTGGTTCTTGAGTTGGGAATCTAAAAAACCTGCACGTGTAGAAAGTCGTGAGAGGACGGAGTTTGGTTCCCCCGTTATACCTCCGACGATTAAGTTAGCTGATGAACTTGAGTGGGGTAAATAAGAACTATAAGAGTTCTTGTGTGTGCAGTATGATTTATAATTTTAGAGAATTTGGATCAGAATCCGAAAATTAAGATCTGGGGGTCAGATCTTCCATCCCTATAACGACAGAATAGTACCTGTATTTAAACCTAGGGTATAAGGTTAGATTGGTCACTTCGGTCGAGTACTGGAGGCGGTGGCGAAGTGTGGGATGACGGCTGCGTCAACACTTGTTTTATAGGTGTCAGCTGGTGATTGGGGGAAGGATCACTTCAGTATTAAACGAGAAGTGAGTGGTGGCATGGCGGTGCCCCACGTGGTCCGATGAGTCATGAAGGCTATCAAGACTAGGGGCATGATGCACCTGACATGCATTAAATGTGATGTTGACGCGTTGCTAGTGAGGATAGGCTCGAGGAAGAGGTTGTCTTTTAGCTTCGCTGAGAAGTAATGTTTTTCGAGTCGTCTGGCAAACGATTGCGTGGACTCATGGTGAGTTGTCTTCGACAAAAGGGGGTGACAAGTATCGCCTTTCGAGTCGACATGAAGGAATGCGACTCGACAAGTCGAATGGGTTGTCGTCCCTACTAGTCTTTGGCCGCCAAGTTGATTGGGGCATAGCATGCAGAAATACACGTGTCCGTTGCTTGGCACTGAGTTACACTCGGACGAAAGGGAACACCATAACAAATATTATGTAAGATAGTCTTCACTCTAGGTTTTGCTTTATAAAAGGACTCTACGTAAGTAGTACAGTAAAGTATAAATTTATTACTCTTAATTATTATCACAGTTTCAAAGTTATAATACATGTTAGCATAGAAATCCAAATTCAAATCATCAAGCATGAACCTTAAGCGTACTTAAAAAATCAACTTGTGTAATCAAAAGTCAGTCCGTAGAAATATATTTTTCAAATGACAAGAATATGTTAAAATATAAAATTATAACATTAAATCATCATCATAAATTCAAAGATTTAATAGTATAGAAGAGACTTTAACAACACAATTTTCTCCATCATAAAACAAATAATATGCATAATATATATGCTAGCATATACAATGAATGCTCTAAGATTGTGGTTTATTAGCATCAAAAAAGAAAATTGCGGTTTAAGTAACAGTTGACATTCATGACACGTGGAGGGGCTAACCTGGGATTTTTGACAAATATGTGGAACTAGAATTTACATAATTTGTTATTATAATAAGGGGTTGTTTGTTTGCCTAAAAAAAAGAGGGAAATCAAAGAATAGGAAACATATTTCTAAGAAAATTGTTTTGAGATTGTTTGCTTGGCTAAAAAAAGAAGGAAATCAAAGAATGGGAGATGAGTTGTCACATTATTATTGGATGATGTAGGTGATTTTTTATAAAAAAAAATTGTTTTGAGGTTGTTTGGTTGGCTAAAAAAATAAGAAAATAAATTATAAGAAACATATTTCCTGTAATAGGTTCTTTTCTGTGTTTGGTTTATTTATAAAAATAAAAAAATAGATGAGATGAGATGAGTTATCATTATATTATTAGATGATGTGACCCACACTTAAGGAAATTGATTTCCTAGTTTTTTGGGAGGAAATGAGTAGAAATAAAATGTTAATGAGATGAGATGAGTTGTCACCATATTATTGGATAATGTTAGTGATTTTTAAAGATGAGATGTGATGGAGATGAGATGAGTTGGAGGATGTGACTCATTTCTTGTGTTTGGTTTATTTTTAAGAGATGATATGAGATGAGTTATGAGATGAAAATAATATTTTATTGAATGTTATGTTGAGTTTTAGAGACAGAAATGGATAAAAATAATATTTTATTAATTTCTATGTACTCTTTCCTTTTTTTATTTTTTGGAAACCAACCAAATAGCCCCTAATACAATAATAATGCCCGTGATGAACACGTAGCTTATGCTCGTCATGTCCATGATATGAAGAGATGTGCAACAAGCAACATCGAGATGTCCATTTCGTAACAATTGGTGGTTGTAATATCTTTGGCTCTAGGATTTAGCCAGTTTTATATGCAAAGTTGGGGGTCAATAGGGTTTTTTTTTTTCTAAGACGAAAATTCTACAAAAATGTGTGTAGCATGAGAATAATGAGTATCCTTCTAATGTACGGTACGGTCAGATTTTTTTGTATCACTTACAGCCTTGATAGTCTGCAATAGCCAATTTTCCTAATTTGCCATTATTTTACTATAAATTATGCTTTTTTTTAGAATACTAAATTATGGTTTTTATTATGTAATATCCTAAGATTTAAAATATATATTAGAAATGTCGTTCCTTAAAGAAAGGGATTACGGGAACTACATGTGACCCATAGTAAAAATGTTTATAAGAGGTTCTCCCAACATATTGAATTCGAATCCCATAGTAAAAATGTTCATAAAATCCTTTGAAGATTAGGGTTTTTCGTAGTAGACGGCCCAAGAGTTTTGCGTATGGGGTTTTGGATACAAACAAATTTTTACATGTATATGAACTTAAATGTTGTAGGCAAATTATATTTATGGGGATATTACATCTGACATCTGTATTCATTTGCTTTCATGGATATGTTTCCACAAAGAAAACATATATTAATTTCCACTAAATATTGGGTATAAATATGGATTGTAAATTAGAAAATGAACTTCAATGACTATCAAGTATGAGAAAATTGGTAACTCTAAAGTATATTGGTTATGTGATAGATGAAAAATTTTAAATACAATAAAAATCTCTCAAATCAAAGTATAACTGCATCCACAACATAGACAAAAAAAAGTTAGAATTATATCTTTGAATTATCAAAATTACTTTAAATCTACTGGCCTAAAAGCTAAATAATTTAGTCATTAGATCCAAACAAATATCAGAATATTTCTATTTGTATTCAAGTTTTTTTCACCTGTATCTCTGTGTAACAAACAAGGTATAGATATTAATATATGTATTTTAGTAAATGTCAACGCAAATATACCTTTGCGATGCGGTGACAAAATAAAAATTCTTATTATAAATTGCATGCAGGAATATTTAATAAGAAATAGTTCTCAACAAATTTATTTTGCCTTGAGTAAAATATGAGGTATCATCGTTTAAAGTTTGGAAAAGTTCGACATGCCTGTAAATTGTGCCCCAGGAGTCAAAATTTAAGAAGTATGTTTCTTGAGGGAAAAGTATTTTTCATATATACTCCCTCGCCTACATCTAGTACATAGTTGCAGATGTGATACCAAATAATCAAAAAGTAAATTAAAAAAGATTACTAAAGTTTCTTTTACTTAGTGATTTGCATACCTAGATCCATTAATTATGCAGATGTAACATTCTAGCTCCTCTCTTTGTCAGAAGCAAGACCTAATCGTTCCTAAAATCACTGTTTAAAATAACTTTTAGCTTTTTAAGGGCAGACAACCAAACATTTGCACTTTTGGGATGAAACTTTATTAGAAGTGATGGGCTCATCTCATACGCTGAAGATATATCCATCTTATAGTGGTTGGTTAGTTAACTTAATTGCAGCAGGAGTTTATTAGGTGTAGTTTTACTAACCCTTTTCCTATTTCTTACCACCACGAGACAAATACATCATTGTCA